GGGAGTCTGCTTTGCCCTCTGACCCTATCCCCTCTCATGTGTTCTCTCTCATTCTCTCTCTCTCAAATAAATAAAATCTTTAAAAAAAAAAAAAAGGCTATTAGAGGCGCAGACTCTCTGGCGGATGTACCCCTTGCCTCTTACATCCTAAGATTTTGAGATAGGTTTGGGATTCAGACATTTTACACCCCTCTTCTGATCCTTTCAAGGACCACAGACTCCTGCTGGGGGGGGGATGGTGCTGGTCACCGCACACTGCAAGACACACCAGGCGTTGACGCATGGGTGGGAGCCTTAGAGGACCTTGTGCTATCAATGTCGTGGCAAGTAAGAGCTAAAGCAGGGGGAGGGGGGCAAGGGTTGAGGAGGGGAAGTGGGCAACCGGGGACCCTGTTAAAGATGATATATGGGGGAGTGGGGGGAGGAGATATAACAAGAGTATTGAAGCCAGGGAAGCCTGTTCTCTGCCTCAGACCCGTCCAAAGGCCACGACAGCCGGAGCCGGGAGGGCTGACCTTCCCACCCACGCTTCTCCATTTCCCAGGCCTGTGAGGAAGGGACTCTTCTGGCATACTGGGGAAGCCAGTGGTGTAGTGTGCGTGCAAGCTAGGGTCCTCGAACATCTTTTCAAGGGTCATGTTGAGAGTGAGATGCATGGAACCAACCAGCATGGTGAGGATGGGCGTCTGGCTAGTAGGCAGGTGGTGCCCAGGGCCCCCACCAGGTGCATCCGGGTCAGCCATAGCTTCCCAAGGTGCAGGGGAGGTTTTGGCAGCTCATGCGTGCCCCGGGGCCAGTGGCAGCCTCTGCTCTTGGTGGGTATTGGCCAGGGAGAGGCAGGTATGTGATAGATCTATAAGCGGCCACCAAAACAGAAGTATGTTCAAGGCCACTGCCTCCAGTGTGGTCGCGTGCAAAGGAGGGAGCAAGAGAGCTGCAGGCCCCTCCCCTTCCCAGGCTTGGTGCTGCTCCGCTGTGCTCCTGGCCTGGAGCCTTCCTCTCCAGGCTTGATTTGAAGCTACCCACAGGAGGGGCTCTTCATCCTTACTCCTTCCCACTCCCCATCAACCAGGCCACCGTGCAGCACCCCAGTCCTCGTGAAATCACGGCTGCCTCAGAGAGACCGGCTCCTGCCTCAGAGACCTTGTGTCACTGAACCCCGAAGAGCTGGGTACCGACGGAGCAGGAAGGAGCCGGGATCTGAGTACCTGGGCTCTGGGCAAGCAGCAGCAGCACAGTGGGTTGGCAATCAGCGCCAGGTGATTTAGCGTGCCAGGTACCAGGAAAAAGCTGGAGCCAAACAACTGGCCTAATCAGTTGCCCTAGCAACAACGTTGCCCTTGGCCCTACCCAGATGAGATCTATTTTAGCCTGTTGCCCTGGTAACTCCAGCTGCTCCCCAGGGACAGGAAGTGGCAGAACCTCAGCTCTGCTGGGTGAGAACACCTCCCCCAATCCGAGGGGTCTCCCTGTGCATCCCTCTGCTGGGTGCAGGGTAGCCGTGGGATGGAATCTCCACATTCTAAATCCCTATGGAAGAACCTTGTTACCAGTGACAGGAGCCTACGGGGAGGAGGCTGGGGTACTAAGGCTGTTCCTGTCAGCCCCTCCCTCCTCCATCTGGAGTTCTCCCCACTCTGTCGAGGGGGATGCAGGGACAGCTTCCATCTCTTTCCTCCACACCCACCCCCCCCCCCCCGCCATGGCTCCCAGGCTCCAATGTGGAGGGAATGGAGTTCTTCACAGCCATCCTGGGGACTGGCTCCTGCATTCTCACCCACGGGGGCAAGTGACCTGCTGAAGGCTGGGGCCAAGCCAGAGGACTCTCCGTCTGCAGAGCATGGCCACAGCATCGGCCGCTTGGTCGGAAGCCCAGTGGGAGCCTGGGCGAGCTCCATAGCATGCCTGTGGCCCCACGGTTTGTCTGCAGCTGGGGTTGGATGTGTAACCACCGGACAGGGCCGTGCAAGGACATGCTGGGGGCGAGGTAAGGGGAACACAGCCCAGTCATTTAGACATTTTCTAGCAGGCCAGGGATTTTCCCATTCTTTGCTGCTCGCCTGGATACAGAAGGCCCCATGGAGGCGGCCCTTTGGCTGCTCCATGCTGGGATAGGCAGCTGCGGTCCTCGCCTTGGCCTGTGCCCAGGGAACTCGGGTTTTCTGTCCTGGAGTTGGAGGCCGACCCAGTGTAACTTCTCTGATTGGTCATCCTGCCCTGGCCAGCAAGCTGGCGGGAGTCCATGTTGGACAGAGTGCTCCGGGGCACAGGGAGGGGGACCTCACCGAGCAGTAAGGAGATCCTTGGGAAACAGCAGGAGTGTGACTGAAACTCGCAGCAAGGGCCCTTTCGATTTCACCTCCAAACCTCAGTGCTTTTGGTTAGGGAAGGGAGTTGGGGGTGGCTGGGGAAAAATAAGAAAAGGCTCCTCCTCCTCCTCCACAACAGGCCAGCTTCCTCCCCTTCCTGGTTCCAAGCAGAGAAAATGGGAAACACAGACAGGGACGGGGACAGAGAGGTAATCAAGTGTGACAGAGACAAATACTGGGAGAAGGGGACAGAATGTGAAAAACCCAGGGATGGTAGTCCACCCTAGGAGATCCACCAGGTGATGGAAGGAGGGAAGGGTCTGGGAGCATGGAAACACAGACCCAAGACAGGATGGGTTCTGAGCCTTGCAAAGGTGGGGAGGCCACGCCTGGCTGGGCAAACAGCAGCAGCTAGAAATATTTCTAGAGAAGTCCTCAAAGTAAATAAAGTGATAACACAGTCCCCACCTCTCCTTGCTGTTCTGCCGTTAAAGGTCATTGGGTGGAAAGACCCAGAGAATCCCAGGAATGAACAGCTGAAGGGCCAGAGTCCCTGCGCAATGCGGAAAAGGGAGGAACGTCTCTTGATAGCAAGGCTGAACGCTGGGCCTCTCCGCTGCCATGTGAGGTATTTAACCCACACTGGCCACCTTGTCACCACACAAACAGCCCGGACACCATGGCTGTTGACACAACATCCTCAGGTAAAAACAGTCTGAGGAGGGGCCGTGGATGCACCGGCCTGTGAGCGGTCTACTCCTGTACTCAGGTCCCACCATGTCCATCTTGGAGTGTCACTGGCACCCCCGGGGGAGTCATCCCCTCACTGCAGCCACCTAACTCCCACTGCTAACATGGCCGGCAAGGAATTCCTGTCCTTGGCCAACAGCATCATCTTCACTGACTCAGCAGTCACGCTGGGGCCCCTGGAACTAACCCAAAGTGAGACCATGAGAGCCATTTCCCTTTTCTTTCAAATGCAGTTCTTTTCCAACATTGCCTGCGACAGCTTTGGTGCAGAGATTTTGGGGGGTGGGGGAGGCACATGGGGAAAAAGAAAGGAGAAAACCAGCCAATTGCACAAAGCCTTTCCCTGGAAAAGCCCAGGCTCTGGGGGTGGTCAGGACTTGTGACTGCCCTCCCCACCACCCTCTGGAGCTCCCGCTCTGCTGGTCGAGGCACAGATGGGGATCCATTCCATTCCCCATGTGGAAGAGCTGTCTGGGAGCAGGAGAATGGCGGCATGTGTATATATATCTCTATGTGTGTGCGCGTGTGCGTATATATATATAATAGGCTATATTAGAAAATTCTCTATGTATAAATATAAAACACTGGTATCCAAACATGACACCACAGCAAACTAAAGTGCTTGACAGGAGTTGGGCATGTCTAAGTATGTAGGTAAAACTATTATTCATCCTGAGTACCCAGGATGAGGGAGAGAGCTGGGGAAGCAAAACCATGGAGGGCCTTCTGCCCTGGTAGGGGTGGGGAGAAAAGGGGGATGCTGGCCCAAGCGCCCCTCCCCAGCCCCCCTCAGCCTTCTCAGCCTGTCTGATCACTGTCCCAGGTCAACACCATGCCTCAACTCCACCTTGACCCTGCTTTTCCCACTGTGCTTCTGTCCACAAGGAGACCAGTGTTGGAAAGTTGGGGATGGGGGAAGGCTTGCTCCCACAGGGGAATACGGGTCAGTCTGTGCCCACAGCTTCCTCGGCCCACACGGTTGGGAGTGAAGGGACCACTATGTATGCTGAGGGCAGGAAAGGAGGATTATTGTCATTATAATTAATAATTTGAGAAATCAAACACCATCACTCCTCTAGGCCAGGTCCTGCCTTCTCTCCTCTTGGGCCTCCTGCCTGGGTAGGGGCTGGAGGGAGGATGGGAGGAAGCCTTGGGGGCAGCTGACCCGGGAAGCTGCCCTTTTATCTGCAAGCCCCAAGCAAAGCATTAGCACCTCCACCATCCCCAAGACCCCTTCCCTACAAAACAAGGCCCATTCTGGTCTCAGACCCACAGAAATGCCACAGGCAAATGGTCACCAGAGCTCCTGGGAGTAGAGGGGCCCCACAGGACAGGGAAGAGCCCCCCCCAGGACAAAGTGCTACAAGAATGGGTTGGTGGTTGGAGGTTTGGAGGCAAACGGGCTTGATGAGGATCCAGTCTGGAAAGAAACAACAACCACAAATTAGGGGATTAGGGGAGAAGAGCTGGAGACCAGAGAAAAGATGCAGTCCAGGATTCCTTTCTCCCCCAGAATTACTGTGCTGAGGGTTGTGGGAAGGTCAGTGGGCTGAGGCAAGTAGGGGGCGGGGGAGTGTGGGAGACAACAGGGCCCACTGACTAACCCACTCACCCCTACGTGGCCAAGGCAGGGCTTCACGAGGGAGGGGCACAGCTTCCAGCCCACATTGTCCTGTTCTCCTCGAAGGATTCTGTCCCCGACCCCCAGAGAGAGGCCATACCCGCACTCACCATGAAGGGGTTGGTAGAGGTCCCAGCTGGCTGGCTCAGTTGCCTCTGTCCCAGCTTGGCTGATCCTAAGTCGCTGAAGGAAGAACCTGGGAAGCAAGAGCAGAAACTAGGCTGACATAAGCCCTGCCCCTCATGCTGATGCTGACCACTCCGCTGGACCTCCCTGCAGGGCAGGGACCGCTCCATCCTACAGTGGCCGCAAGAACGGGCCTTTCTAAAGTCGGGGAATAAGGGTATGGAGCAGAGTCAGAGGACACAGGCAGGTCTGTGGCTTCTCTGGCCCCCCCTACTGGTCCAAAAGGGAACTAGCTCAGATGTCTGGCTCCCTAATAGTCCTAATATTCATTGCCACCCCCCTGCATTCCGGCAGGCCCTGGGGGTGGGGAATGGGGGTAAGAAAGGAGGGTGTGGTCTGAATCCCTTACCATTCTGCTGCTGAGTCATCGAGGTCTGTGGGGGGAACAGTGGTGGTGGGAAGGTGCTGACAAAGGCCCTGGTGGGTGGCACTGTCTGGGGGAAGCCAGGCCCCGCACTGCTCATCCCAAAGCTGGGCCCTATGGAACAAGGACATGAAGTTCAGGCGAGGTTCTAGAAGGCAGGCTGGAGAACGGTTCTTCCTAGGTCTCTCCATGATAGGGACATGGGATAGAGTGTGTCCTTATCCAGAGGTATCCAGTAAAAGTACCCTGAGTGAGCCATGGAAGTCTTCAGCTTCCATGCAACCTAGCAAACCTGCCCTCTTCCTGTCCACGGTGGCTTGTGGCACGGAGGGCACAGAGGTGCCGAGCAGGGGCGGGGCCCAGAACCGGGGTCAGCTGCCTGCTTCTATTAAACTGCACCAACGAAAGCAAAATATTAGCCCTCTGTGTATGTGCCTCAGTGGTCTCATCTCTTAAAAGTGGGCCGGGCCCCTTTCCTAGGGCTGCTGGGCAAAGCCAATAAGGGCTGTAAAGCTCTCAGCAGTGGGGTTTGCCACATGGGTCAGTGGTCAGTGGTGCTAGCTGCTACCAGTCTCTCTTCCCGGCCTCAAGGTTTTTAAGAACAACAACAACAAAAAAGGCAGGGGTGGGGGTGGGGGAGCATGCCTCTGAAGAGAGAAGAGCTGAGGCTGCGGAGGAATAGGGAGCGAGGAGATCACAACACTCCAGCTGATGAGAGCAGGGACCAGGGGCAAGGCTGCAGGTGGGACACAGAAGGGGGGTGCACACTGCCGAGGGGCAAGAAGGGAGAGTCCTGCCACGTCAGTCGCAGAACCGGCTTGGGTCAGTAGCAGTCTGCTTTTCGTAATTGTGGAATTCTGATTCTGGGACTTGGGTGCTTCTACTCTTTGCCCACTAGGCGGCCCGGAAGTTCAACCTGGTCTGGCCCGGTGAAGGGTGCGAGGAGGACTGAGGCTGTCTGCCACTCCTCCTGACAGTGGGGTGTGTGTGTGTGTGTGTGTGTGTGAGAGAGAGAGAGAGAGAGAGAGAGGGAGAGACACAGAGAGGGACAGAGAGAGAGAGAGAAGGGAAAGAGAGAAGGAGGCAGAGAGGAATTTGCGCCCTGGAGAGAGTCAGGGCCAGGGCAGAGTCTGGAGGCTTACCTGTGGCCAGGCCGTTGGGCTGGAAAGGGTTGGTGGAAGGCAGCTGAGGGTGAGCGGCAGGTACTGTGAAAGGGTTGGTGAAGGCTGCTCAGGGTGGAATGGGGTAGAGGTGGGAGAAAGAGAGGGTTACTCTTTTCTCATCTGGTTAATACTCGGATGACAGCATTCCTCTCAATCTTGGTGTGCTCTTTCTCCCCTCCCCTCCCTGCAGAGTCCCCAGGTTCCTCTTGGCTTTGGATCCCCTCCCTGGGTCTCCACAGGTAAGACTCACCTCCAAAGGCAAGCCCCGTGCTGCCGCCTCCCCCAGCTGTGGCCGACTGGAGCGTGGGGACCTGGCCGGCCACCCCGAAGATGCTGTGATGTGGGAAGAGAAGTCAGCATGCAGGGCACTGGGGATCAAGGGGAGAAACAATGCAAGGGACCAGGAGGTGCCAAACCCTGTCCTGCCCGACAGGAGGAGCTAAGCAGGCTGGGAAAAGCAAGGCTCTGCAGCCCCAAGGCAGACTCCCGGACGTCTGGACGTACCTGCTAGGGATACCTCCAGGTGATGCTCCGGGCGCCAGGAGGCTGCTCATATCTGTGAGGCTGTTGGGCTGACTGGCAGGTGCGAGAGGAGAGGCCGCAAATGGAGTCACCTGGCTGCTCCCTGGGCAGTCACAGGAAACAGAACAGGGAGTGCTGCGGTGAGGCAGGAGGGAAGGGGTAGGAGAAGAGATGGAGGTGGGGGGGGGCAGGGGAGACGGAGCAGAGTGATGGCATGAGTGCACCCACTGGGTTCTCTGAGCCCATTTCCCCCTGGGTCATCCGGCTCAGAGGGCCTTGACTGCCGCCAAGAATTCTAGGTAACACGGTACTCAGCCTTTGTCAATCTCGTTAGTGCTCAAAGCTGCCGCTGCTGAGAGAAAGCGGCCTGCCCTGGTGTCAGGTCAGTGTCCCTCCTGCTGTAGTCTGACTTATAGTTCCCATTTTTTCCTCAAGCCGTGGACATGTCTGTCCTTTCCTCAAACCAGCATTTCCATTTATGGATAAAGCCTAGGAAGGGGCAGGTAGAGGGGATGGGGGCAGGAGCTGTGAAGGGCAGAAAGGCCCAGACACTCGGGAGCCTCTCATGGAAGGTGGAGCCCACACCGGAGCACAGACAGCTCAGCTCCCACTCCCACCGGAGCTGCCCCCTCTCAGGAGGCCACCCTAAGCCAGGAGCTTAGATCAGGGTTCCTCTGCCCTCTCTGGTCATCACATCTCAAAAGAAAAAGCCCCGAGGGCGGGCCCACGTGGGAGGCGTACGAAACAGCCTGAGGAGCAAGTCCAGGAAGTCCCTGTCCTTTGGAGAAAGCCTCTTTATCTGCGTGTCTCAGACTCATCTGTATGGTGGGATCCAGTCAACCACTCTGGGCTGTTGTGAGGGTAAAATGAGGCTACAAACGGAAAAGGCTTGATTTTTATGAGTGCTGGAAGACTTGTACCGAAGGGAAACACGCTTTGCATGGTGTCTGCCACATGCCAGTGCTCAGAAATTGTTTGCTGAATGACTATGTGAGAGGTAGAGTGAGAAGGACTGGACTCCAGTCGGGGCCCTACCCCCTGCTACTGCTGTGACCTGCGCAAACCATCTTACTCTCCTGAGCCCATATTTTTGCTTGCCCTCTCATAGGATGGCTGTAGGACACCGCCCCCCCTCCGCTGAGGTAAGTATTTTCAACTAAGTATTCTGCAGTCTGTAAAGCGTGCATAAATGTGAGCTATCATCATAGCCTATGATAGAAGAAACTATTTCCGGGGTCAGAGAAACAAGACAAGGTCTTGAAGGAAAGGTGATGGCTGGCTCAGGTGGTAAACACAAGTGAACGAGAGCCTCGCCTGGACTCTCAGCTCCAGTCTTCCCATGCGCTCTGCCTTGAACAGGAGCCCCCACCCACGGTCCTGCCCCCCCTTCAGGCTTTAACAGAACCACGTCTTCAGATGGGCCTGCCCTGACCTCAGTCTGCATTAGAGCCTGGTTTTCCTCTCCTAACACCTTGTTCTTCGCCCTCGTGGCACCTGACATCTTTGTAGTGACATATTTTTGTTTCTCTATCAACTGTGTCCCCCTCTAGACCAACTCCCTTGCCAGGTTTCTCACAGATATCAGTTGCAAATGTGCAAAACGTGACACATGCAGGGTGATTCACAGCAGCGCTGTTTGTAGGCAAAAGACTAAATATTCATCATTCGTTCTACATAGTCATCAACAGGGGACGGATTAAATAAATTACAGTATATACATAAGCAGGACTATTGTGCAGCCATTAAAAAACAATGAGGAAGCACTTCATGTGCTGATAAAAAAAAATCTAGCACTACTGTTCAGTTAAAACAAATCAAGGTACAGAATGGTATGTCTATTATGCCATCAAGTGTGTTAAAAAAAAAGAGAGAGAGGGGCGCCTGGGTGGCTCAGTCGTTAAGCGTCTGCCTTCGGCTCAGGTCATGGTCCCAGGGTCCTGGGATCGAGCCCCACCTCGGGCTCCCTGCTCGGCGGGGAGCCTGCTTCTCCCTCTCCCACTCCCCCTGCTTGTGTTCCCTCTCTTGCTATGTCTCTGTCAAATAAATAAATAATATCTTTTAAAAAGAGAGAGAGAGAGAGAGAAAGAAAATAGAATGATAAAAAGTAAGTGAAGGCCACAGGCTCCTCTTCCCAGGGGCATGGCAATGGAGAAGCGGTAGGACAGCAGCTGAGCAGGGGCGATGGGGGGGCTGCAGAAACGTTTGGAGGCTGGATAACCTGAAGCCTGTTTGTGGGGAAGGGGGAATGTGGTGGCAGAGGTGGACAGAGTGGAGGGGAGACTCAGCTAAGAAAACTGATGGGAAAAACCCTGTAGAGAGTGGGAAGGATGAGCAGGTAACCGTCACAAGGGAAGATACCAGAGATGAGAGGAAGAAGGGCAAGGGAAAGATAAAGACACAAGGCAAGGGACGAATGGCCAAGCCAGGCTGGTTCTCAAATCTGTGTTGCTCCCTGGTCCCCTCAAACTTCAGCCTGGTTTCTCCTAAGTTTGGGGCTTTTTTTCTGAAGACCCTGGAACTATCATTTGAAACTCGATGCTCCTCCTTCCCTAAAGGGTAAGGCTGTATTGATCCAAAGCCCTTTGGTAAGGGGATCTTCCTGGTGCTAGGCATCTCGGCTCTGACTTGGAGAAGCAGAGTCCAGCAGGGAAGGCAGGTGCCCAGGGCTGGCCTGCCGGCTCCGAGCTTCCAAGGGTGGGCTGCTTCCCTTGTGCTCGCCTTGGCCACCCTCCTTCTCAGCCCCTGGCCTTTCTACAGGAACAAGTGCTAGGCTACCACGCCACTGAGCACACTTGGTCTCTGTCCTCTCCAGGCCACAGGCGTCAGGAAGACTGGAAGCCAGCAGCCTAGTGTTGAATCTTCTGATTCTCAGGGTCCCCTGGCCTTTCCTGGGCTATGACTCGGGGTATGTGGAATTTCTGAGTGAACACAGCTCCCTGTCCTCACTAAGGTCAGACCCTTCAGTCCTGCTCTGGGCCTTTCCGTCAGGTCAGGGAGCTCCCAGGCTGGGGGAGGTGCTGTCCTTCTGCCCTGCTGCCGCCTGGCGTGTGTCTCCTGGCAGACACTAGAGGGCAGAGCCCGCCCTCGCCACGGCCGGGTCGACCCCGCACTTTCCGCCCTTCTCCGGGAACCTAGGAATACCTGCGCTCTTGTTGTCTTCTTCTGCACTTCCAGAGCCCCATTCCCTGCGGCTGGATTGGTATACATACCTTCTAGCAGTTTCAGGGGAAACTGCAGTTTTAGAAACTTCCCCTCTCCAGACTCCCCCTCAGAAATATAAAAATACAGCCAGGCTTGTCAGAAAAGACACCCACCTCTCACCCAATTCTCCCTACTTCATCCCCAGTAGTTCTTTATGTCACACTCGGAGAACCACCCTCTCGTGATCCCGGTGCGGTGGGAAGTGAATGGGAGCTGCCATTCATCAGCCATTCGGGTTTGGCCAAGTCACTGGCCAAGTGAAACCGGTTTTGTCAACTGCAAAATGGAGATCTTTCCTTCTTCATGGAGATAATATGAGGATGCTCCTAGCAGTGGCAGGAGCCTCACAAGGGCTGGTTGGCTCTGGCTGGCTGCAGAGTCTGCTTTTTGAGATGACCAGACACTGGACGCAAGTTCACCCCAGGTTTGGCCAGGGAGGGCTCCTGGCACCTTCCTTCTCTCCTTTAAAGGTTGGCCCTTTAGGCAAGGGATTGTGACAGGCATGCATTTCTTTATCATTATTATTTTTTAGATTATTTATTTGAGAGAGAGAGCGTGAGCACTAGTGAGGGGAGGAGCAGAAGGAGAGGGAAAAGCAGACTCCCCGCTGAGCAGGGAGCCCAACGGGTGGCCAGGACCATAACCTGAGCCCAAGGCAGACACTTAACTCACTGAGCCACCCAGGCCCCAACAGGCATGCATTTCTGACCGGACCAATTTATAACCACCTCGTACAAGCTGCTTCCTTTCAAGCTCTCATTCTGAGGAGCACCTCCGTCTTGCTACACTGAATATTCCTGTGCCAACTTACATTCTTACCGATAGCATGCAAAAGGGCCAGTTTCCCCACACAGTACTGGCCATTACCAATCTTTAAAACTTTTGTGAATACAATGTGTGAAATTATTATCTTACTCTTAATTTGTGTTTTCCCTGATTAGTCAGGTTGAGAACATTTTCATCATTTTTTTTCTGGGTATTAGCTGCTTGTATCCATTGCCTGTTATCCTATTCTGTCTTATTTATAGGAGTTTTAAAAAAACACATGATGGCTATTAGCTTTTTGTCTGTTTTCCATATTGTAATTATCTTTTCCCTGTTTCAGGCCTTTAAGGACAATGAAACATTGTTATGGGACATCTTTTGGGACACCTTTTTTTTTTTTTTTTTTTAAAGATTTTATTTATTTATTTGAGAGAGAGAGAAAGCACAAGTAGGGTGGAGGAGCAGAGGGAGAAGCAGGCTTCCCGCTGAGCAGGGAGCCCGATGCGGGGCTCGATCACCCTGGGATCATGACCTGAGCCGAAGGCAGATGCTTAACCGACTGAGCCACCCAGGTGCCCCACGTCCTTTTTTTTTTTTAAGGTTTTATTTATTTATTTGAGAGAGAGAGGGAGAGCACAAGCAGGGGGCAGCGGCAGAGGGAGAGGGAGAAGCAGGCTCCCTGATGAGCAGGGAGCCCAACACGGGGTTTGGTCCCAGGACTCAGGGATCATGACCTGAGCCAAAGGCAGATGCTTAACTGACTGAGCCACCAGGCGCCCCAATACCCTCGTCCTTTAAACAAAGAATATTTCTTCTTTCATCATCATACCTTAACATGAGTTCCCATCACTCTCCAGCCCATGCTGAGCTTTATTTTACTTCTCAGCACTTATTATCACCGGCAATTATATATTTAATGATTGATTTAAGGTCCATGGCTTCCACTATGGTGTAAGCTACATGAAGATGGGTACAGTTTTGTGCACTGCCATATCTCCAGTGCCTAAGACCATGTCTGGAGCTTGAGAGACACTCAGTAAATGTATGTTGACAGATTGACTGAATGAATGTGCAGCCTCTTGGCCTACCGTGATTTTCACTTCCCAGTACCACGAAATCCTAATCTGTGGGCAATCAACCATGTGGATTTAAGATGTTACTTGGTCTATGTGTCACCCTGAGCCATGCCCCTCCATTGCCTGCTGAACTGTGTGTGCTCCCCCTTTACTCTGCAGCCAGCAGTAAGCATCCCTCACCTCACACCCTGTTTACGGCCCACCCACCCGCTCCCAGCCTTTCCCAAGGTCCATCAGAGGACACAGGCAATACTTTGTGAAGACCCTTTTATAAGGTTCCTATGCCTTGCCCTACTTAGCTCATGCTAATTAGAACTTCAATTAGCACATGAGAAGTACCACCAGAACTTAGGCAGACAAACACAGCCAGGGAAACTACAGCTTTCTTCTAGAGTTTCCTCTGATATTTCTCTCCTTATAATGTCAACATGCCTTCAATTCAACTTCATTTAGTGGCCCGGCCTTTTGATCCTTCACTAAAGACCAACAATAATGAGCACCGGGAAAAAGTGGTCAAGTTTTGTAAACTGTGCCCTGATATTTAAGGAGTTAAGTGTTCTAGCAAAAGAAATCAGGTTTTTAATGTGTGCCAGATCCCTTGACCCTCCTTTTGTCCTGATTGAGGGATATTCATTATAGAAGGGAAATGTTATCTATGGGATACTTTAAACCAAGATCTATAAAATAATAATAAAGGTGTCAGCCCTCCCATTTAGTTAGTGTTTTATCTTTTGTGCTGTGCAGCTAACCATGGGGATGAATTAACACTGTTTCCAAACATTTTCTTCCTAGGACCTAGACTCTGACATGCCATCAGTTTTATCCCTCTGCTCCCAGACTCTATAATCAGATTTTCCTCTTCATAACAGGATCTTTAGGAATCTGTTCTTTCTCTTTCTGCTATAAATAGTCCTAAACTTTGCTCCTTTTCTCCTCAGAGTACTTGTCCCAGTCTCAGTTCTACCCTTTTGCTTTATTTAAGTCTCTACCTTTGACACATTCCTGTTTGGGTTCTAATCATTGTCCCAAGAGCCATAATAGCTTTTACTTAGACCAAAGTCATAACACACAAGTGAGGTTGATCAGAACACAGAAGTTTGGCAAAGGAGGTAAAAATCACGTAGAGAGATAATCCTACACCGTATCTTCATTTCTGGTCTGCCGTGATCATAACTAATATCCAATAACAAATGCTGAAAACAGCAAACCCCATATAGCACTGGTAAACCTCTCTTTGCTTCTGTTCTCTCATCTGTCATGTAAGAACAATACTGCTCCCTCCTTGGCTCCTAAAGGTGTAAGAAGAAACAACGAAAGCACCCCTTGTTAAATACAAAACCAACCAACCAGACAAACCAATATATTAAAACAATACTGAACAAGTCAAAATAAATCTCTTGATGAACTTATACAGAATAGAGATACAGGGTTGGTAGCCAATGTTAATCAGGCATCTAACCAAATAATTCCCTATGGGGGAAAAAGAACCTTACTCTATAACCAGAAATCTGGCCTAGAACTGTGGCTCTAAATTAGCTCAGGCATGACCAAATACAGTGCCAGTGCCAAGTGTAGCGTTGCAGATTATACAACAAAACTCCCCCAAATCTAGAAAGAGCTGCCAGATGCTACTACCAGGACCAAGCCATGGCAACAAGAAGCTTAAAGGTGTAAACTACTACACTTAAGGATGGCTCATCCAGATCCCCAAACCTTTGGAGAAGTTAAGCTCTCTAACACGGTAATCCATCAGCTCTCATCTCTTAAGATTTGTAAGAAATCTACCTCTGGGTTGCACTCCAAAGCCCTGCAACATTAGGACCTGCACCCGAACGCTGGTACAGGGCTCCTTACCTGTCACAATCTCTATGCTGTCAGCCTGGGTTAACTTACCTATTTTAAATTGGTTTCTCTATCTCACACTCCAGAATGGGCACGAGCCATAAGTACACCTTCATCTAGAGCCCAGTTTACTCTACCCCTTTCCTATTTGCCCCTCACCTACACAGAGTTCCCTTTCAAGGCGTGTGTCATTCTCGGGCCCTTTAAATCTTAACCTCCCCCCTGCTCCCTTCAACTCTCCCCCACTTTCGGTTCGGTTCGTTTTGCCTCCCCTCCCTTCGGGAGTTTCTCCCTTCTTCTCCGATGCCCTTCCTTTCCCCTGCAACGCGACTCCAATCGTGTCTTGTCTCCTCTGCCAATTTCCCTTCCCCATGACAGCTCTGCAGCAGACGACCCTCTCAGCGCATCAGGCGCGTCCCCAGGCCTCCCCGCCGCCCCTACCTCGGCTCCGTCCCTTCGCCCCGGATCCCCGCTGTCCCCAACGCCGATACTCCGCAGCCCCTTCCCGGTCCTCCCCCCCTCTCCTACCCCGCGCCAGTCCACTCACAGGAGGCCGGAGCAGGTGGTGCAGACGAAGCTGCCCACGGTGATATCCACGTAGGTGACCCCGCGCTGGGCGCACTCGAAGCAGTGGCGGTTCCCTGCCTGGCTGCAGCCGCCCAGCTCCCGCACCCGGCGACACCACACCTCCGAGGCCGCCTCCGCCTCCGCCTTACCCCCGCTGACCCCGCCACCCGGGCCTGGACCCTTCTTCGCCGCCATCACCATGGTTGCCCGCTCCCTCGGACCTCCTGCAAGTCAGCAATTATCCCTTCAACCACAGCCACCTTCCCGCCTCCTCTGCCTCCTCCGCACGCCCCGCTCCCCTGACAGAAGATAGGAAGTCGGCGACGTCCGCGAGAGACTTCTCTACCCCTTGCCTTGCCTATTCTGGACGCTGATTGGTTAGTCTCCTCCCACCTCCCCACTCTGATTGGCTCGACATTGGACGGCCTTGGGTTGCGGGAGCCGCCAATGCCACGCCCCACCGCCTTCACCCTCAGGCCTCTCCCATTGGCCCGCAGAGACACTGCCGCGAGAACTGTGCGTGCCCTCTCCCTGTCTCCGCCCCCTCTCGCCACTGCCTCCATGGCGGCCCGCCCCCCAGATTCGATTGGTGAGTCCTCGGAACACGGGCTCCGACGCTAACTCTGACTGGCTGTCTAGGCTGCAAAGTTAGCGCGCGAGAAAGAGTAGGTGTCTCGCGCGTGCGCAACCCTTGTCCTCCTGAATGATGACGTTAATTCCCGCCAAATTTCAAAGGCCCAGTCTTCGCTAGACTGTGCAGAGAGGTACGAAAAGCAGAAGAGAAGTGGCCATAGGAGCGACCGAGGGGAAGAGGGAAAGAAGGGAGCTCTCAGAGGAAGGGAGGGAGGAGAAGGAGTGCTTTATAAATGCTATTTCGCTTACTCCTACCCTATGCCACAGGAAATCTCATTCTACAGAGAGTTTAAGTTATACTTGTGGTAGGTCACACCACTGGTACATGGCCCAGCCAGGATTCTGATATGAGTCGTCTGACTTTAGAAACCCTGCTTTTAACCACCACACTATCCGTGGAATAGTATTTGACAAACACGTATTGAATTTCTTAACCAATTTTTTTTTTTAAAGATTTTATTTATTTATTTGAGAGAGAGAGAATGAGAGAGAGCACATGAGAGGGGGGAGGGTCAGAGGGAGAAGCAGACT